GGATAAACTTTGTTTTTAATATCCTCCTCCTTTTTTTCTCTAATAGATGCCTGCTGTATGTATGCTGCAGCTCCTCAAACATTGAACAAAACAAAACAAGTAAAGGAATTTTTTTTTCAAATTACTTTCCAAATTTAGAAATAATTTTCCTTCATTTAAGTAGTGTGAGAGCGCAACGATGCTCTAAATGTGTTGGCATAGCAACGTGATACTTCCGGTTTCCTTTTCCGCCTGTCCTACGAAGGCCGTCTCATTTAATTCTAGGTTGAGGACACTTCGTATATGCATCCTACAGAGGATGCGACCTCCAGAGGATTCGACCTCCGGAGGGTGCAGCCTTCTAAATGAGACACAGCTTATAAATAGAGCAGAGAATGAGGGGCAAACAGGTGATGAGGATCAACTAACAATGAGAAAAGGAACATGACCAAATATGGGCACAGAGGGAGAAAACACAACAAACAGTCCATAACTGTGACATTTCGCCCCCCCTCCCGGAAGGCGCGACCTCACGCCACAGAGAAAAAGGGTGGGATGGAGGACGACAACCAGAGTCCAGGGTGGAGATGGAGAAAAGAGCCAGGAAGGATCAGACGGAGGGAGGAGTGCAGTCCTGAGGTGGAGGTAGGGGGGACGATTGACCAAGGCGGCGCCAGGGGGACGAGGGAGCCCGGAGGAATTGGTGGACTGACGGGCTCCGGTGGAGACGAGGGAGCTAGAAGCCATGGTGGAGCCACTGGGTCGCAGGACTGAGGCGGAGTCTGGGCCTCAGAGGCTAGAGGCGGAGTCGAGGGATCCTCCAGACTCAACACCAATGGAGATGGGCAGACCTGCAGCAAGCCCACGCCACAGATGGTGAGCAGAGGGGTTGACAGGATCCAGCAGAATGAGCGTTGAGGAAGGGAACAGATCAATGAGAGGAGGAGGGAGAGGGAGGTTGGGTGGGATTTCTTGCAAGAACTATAGAACAGATGATGGACAAATTTGTAACTCAGTATTCCAGTCTATTAAGTCTCCCAAGTCCAGTTCTTGCTCCCCCTCAGCAGTGGCACAGTGGGCGGGGCTTTCCTTTGCCCCCACGATCTCCACTGCTATTTCCCCCGCCGCTTGTGCTGTCGGTTCTCGCACCTGGTCAGACACTTGGGGCTCTGGCTCCGGGGTGATCACCAGCTCTGTCGCTCCTGATGGCGATGTCTCGATGACCACGGCAGGCTCTGGCTCTCCGTCTGCGGTGGGCTCGGGCAGCTCCGCGCTGTGGGGTGTGTGTAGACTGGGCTTTGCGCTAGCGGTCGTGATGGTTGATGACTCTGGGCTGTCGGTACTCACATGTGATGACCCCGGGCTGGGCTCCGCTTCGTCCACTGTGAATGCTGATCCGGCGATCCACAGTGCGAAGTTGATGTAGTTCATAAGTAGGGCTGGGTATCGTTAAAAATTTTTCGATATCGATACCTTGACTTCGATACCGGTTCCTGAACGATACTTTTTTGGATACCAATTTTATGAAATCAATTTGAACAAGATTACATTATCTAAAAAAAAGACTTTGGTTTTATTTTTCAGCTTGTTGATGTTTATTCAAACTCAAAGACTCATCTCCTGAGCCACTGCACAAAGGAACAAAATGTAACCAACACAATAAATCAGTGCAAAATAGTTTTAATAAAGCTCAAATAGTCTTCAGTTTACACATCTGTTAGGCTACATTTACACTAATTAGTGTTCGTTTTAAAACGCATACAGAGGTAATAACATATTTAATTTCAGCAACATTACATGGCCAAAACACACATTAGATGGCAGGGCCGGATCAGGTCCGGATTTTCATGACGTAAAAAAAACAAATTTTTGGGCCCCCTTCCCTATTAATATAATAGACCTAATATTACCATATTACCACCCAAAAATATTTCTTAATCAGTGGAAACCGATACA